CTTCAGAGAAGTCTGATGTCAGCCTGATTGGTTTTCCTTTTTATGTTATCTGTTTCTTCCCTCTTGTCAGCATCATTATTTTGTCCTTGTCTTAGACTCTTGGGAGCTTTACTATTATGTGTCTTGCTGTATTTTCTCTTTCATCATGGAAGTTTGGAGTTCTTCGTGCTTCTTGTATGTCTATTTTCAGCTCCTTCTTCATGTTAGGGAAGTTCTCTTCAATTATTTCTTTGAATATTTTCTCTGTTCCTACTTCTCTCTCCTCTCCTTCTGGGATTCCTATAGCTCTTATATTTCCTTTCCTCATGGAATCTGATAGCTCCCAAAGTCTTTCTTCATTCTTTTTCCTTTGTACTTCTCTGTCCTTTTCTGTTTTGGTTCTTTTTATTTCTGTGTCTTCAAGAGTACTTATTCGTTCTTCCATTTCCTCTATTCTGCTTTCACTGCTTTTCCCAGAGTTTTTTGGCTTCTCCCTTAATCCTTTGATCTCCAGCATTTCTTTCACTTCCCTCTTTAGGGACTCAGTTTCATTCTTCTGATCATTGATTATTTTTCCCTTATCATTGTTTTCCTTTATGACTACTTTCAGTTTTTTAATCATGGCAATTTTAAATTCTCTAACTGGAAGGCTCAGGCGTTCTTCCAAGTCACTATTGTTGCAATCTGGTGGGTGATTTTCTTTTTGTGGTGTGTCTTTTCCTTGAGGAGTTGCTTGATTGCTTGTAGTTTTTCTTCTCCCTGCTGTTTGTTTTCTAATTTGTCCTATGCATTGTGACACTCTGTTGCTGGTACTGGCTGGCATCTTTTTGGTGTGCTCTTTCTGGAATGTCAGAAACTGGTGGTCCAATCTAGTCAAAAACTGTTATGCCAGAAGTCCAGTAGGGCAGTGGTACTATGAATATGTTAGTAGTTGCTGTCACAGACAATCTCCCCTTCTGTATTTGTTTAATTCCAGAGGTTGGTCTTGTGATCCCACAGATTGCCCTGGCCATGGCTGGATTGCCCACTGAGCTCCGAATCGCTGGATCTCCCTCTGGGCTCCAACTGGCAGCCAGACTGGGGGCCTGGCTTGTGGGGGCTTTTCAGCTCACCTCTGGCTGTGGGGGCAGCCCTTTCCAGTTACAGGCAGTCTAGGTGGGTTCTAAAATGGCGAGTCAGGAGGCCACTTCCCTGTGCCCAAGGTCTGCCCCAGCAGTGGCTGGATCCCCCTCTGGGTTCTGACTGGGGGCCAGACAGAGCCTGGTTTGTGGGGGATTTTCAGCTCCCCTCTGGCTGTGGGAGCAGCCCTTTCCCAGTTCCATGCAGTCTAGGTGGTTCCACACTCAAAGATCTGATAACCTTTTTACCTTACCCTACAGGGGTGCTCTGCTATAAACATTTGTGTTCAGGTTTTGTATAAACAAAAGTTTTCAAGTGAGTTGGGTAAATACCTGGGAGAATGATCAGCAGGTTTTATGGTTAATCTGTGTTTCATTTAATAAGAATTTGAAATTGCCAAATCTCTTCCTTAGTGACTGTGTGATTTTTGTATTTCCTCTGGCAGTGACTAGGGGTTCCTGTTGCTCCCCATTCTGGTCAGCACCTTGTGCACAGTGTTCCCACTTATCTAAGGTTTCATTTTCCAAGAATTCAGCTTCCTGAAATTAACCTAGGTACAAATTTTTTTCATAATAAGATATTTAGAGTTCACAGTCACATCACTTTTATTACAGTATATTGTTGAGATTTTGACTTACTTTTTAAAAATTATTTCTAATCACACTGTGCCTAATTTATAGAGTAAACTTATCATTTGTATGTATGTGCAGCGAAATCTTTGTGTATAGAGGGCTCCATACTATTGGTGGTTCTGGTATCCACGGGGGTCTTGGAATATATCCCACATGGATAAAGGGGGGCTGCTGTACTAGGATTTGGATTTAAGCCATAAAATAGGTGTGTATTGCGTGTCCTTGTTGCTTTAATATGCACTTGCATTTATATATATCTTTCAGCATATGATGTTGAGTTTCTGTTCATATGCCTAGTTGCCATCAATGTAGCTTCCTTGCAAACTGTTCAGAGTTTTGCTCAATTTTAAAGTTTTGTGCTCCTTGTTGAATTCTAAGGGTTCCATGTGTATTCTAAAAATTGTATTATATTAGAGTCATATTTTGCAAATATTTACTCCTGGCCTGTGGCCCAAGCTCTTTCACAGGCCCAACACTCACATTAATGCCTGCATAGGCATTTTGGGAAGAAAAATGAGGAGTTGCTAACTGCAGTGGGTTCAGAGAAGAGAAGATTTGGTTGACTGAGGATGACGTGACTTATGTATTTGTTTATGTTCTTGAGTATTTATGAATCCTCTGTGTGTGGGTGAATAACAAATATTAGTTATTATCAAAATCATTTATCAAAAATTAATTATACCACAATCCCTGACACTATGAAACACTTGGCAGATCCCCTTCAGTCTTGTTCTCAGGCTCTGACCCTCTACTCTCGGACCCACCATCTTCCTGCATGATTTTGCCTTAGAATTTCCACCTGACCAAGGTGGGCTGGATAGATGGACACAGCTTCCCGCTGAAAACAGCTAAAAAAGTGAGATACATATGAGATACAAAACCCTCTTCTTAAAAGCGTTAGAATTTACAATACAGTAATCAATGGCCACACCCAGAAGAGAAGCGCGTGGCCCTGTGTGGGCCACACAGAGAGCAGTGTCCTGAGGAGGAGGAAGGGCTGTGAGGTCCCCTCCCAGAGCAGACATGGAGACCAGCCCTTCAGCTGGGCCCTGAGCCTGACAGTCAACAAACGCCATTCCTTTCTCAACTTAGGGAGACCTGCTTTATTCTGCCTATGATGTGTGTGTGTGTGTGTGTATGTGTGCATGTGTGCACACATCTATAGTACAGTCCTTAGGATATAATCTGTGTTCACTAAAAAAATACAAAATGTTGCAAACAAAGTATTTTCAGACCCGGAGGGAGTAAAAAACACTGTCAGCTGTTGTTAACAATGAGAAACAGAAATGTATTTAAATGAGGCCACAAGTTTGGAGATCACCCCTCATTGTCAACCTTCCACAGGCAGGGCCAGCACCTGAGCCCAGAGGAGAAGGGCTGCACAGGAGGGAGCAGGAGGGAGGGAGCATGGACGTGGACAGAGACCACCCTGTCCAGTGTGAAGAGCTGTGGGGTCCTGGCTAGGGAGGCTCAGGAAAGCAGGGAGCATCTCCTCAAGCCTGAGAGAAAGAATCTGGAGATACTGTAAACCCAGTTTCTGATGACACAGAGCACATGTAGGTCACTTCTGCCACAATCCAAAGTGCTATGTCCCAAGGAAACCAATTTGTATGAAGTGAATTAGACCATTTTTTTTGGGTGGGAGGAGGTGGAGGATACTACCATCCTTACTTGAAGAGATGAATGACAAAAACTATCATCATTTAGATTTAGCAATCTGTACATACTTTCTAGAAAATGAATGTGAGCTGTCCCTTTGAAAATATCAACTGAGGGCCTCCCTGGTGGCAGAAGGAGGTAAACACAGCACTGTGAAGCTACCTGCAGCCTCTGCAGCATTGTTAGATTCCTGGCCAGGGAGCTACCCACATGGCACAGCAGACCTCTCCTGTCTTGCCTGCTGCTCCCCTCAGCAGTGTATTTCAGTCAGTCTGCCTGTTCTGCTCCCCACACTGTCACTGGTGAATCCACTCACCCCATGCACCTCTGGCCTGTACCCCAGTTCTTGAATGCATAAATAAATAAAGATTTTTTTAAAAAAGAAAATCAACTGACAGTTGATACATGATAGTAATTAACTACCCAATTAAAGTATAAGCTCCAAGTGAAAAACAGATAATGGAAAATGTGTCCCATCGCTATAAACTTGACAACTTCCAGTGGCCACTTGCTTTTCCTTGAGGTTCTTTGGAACCAAAAACATGTATGATTTTCCATATTTGATTCTAGAATAATTAACATAAAGATCCTATAATCTGATGTATTAGTTCAAGATTAATAATCAAGAGAGGCGGGCCTCCCCCGTGGCACAGCAGTTGAGCGCTGGGTTGAGAAGCTGCCCGCAGCCTCTGCAGCGCCAGTTCCATCCCTGGCCACCGGGTGAGGGTCCCACATGGAGCACAGACCTCTCCTGCCCTCCACTGCTTCCCTAGGCAGTGTACTTCGTCAGTCTGCCTGCTCTGCTCTCCCCTCTGGCTCTGGTGAATTCTCTCACCCTCCTGTGCTTCTGACTCTGTCCAGTGCTTGTATAAATAAATAAATTTAAAAAGTTAAAAAAAAATAATCAAGAGAGGCCTATGGAGTTAATGTAACAGGATAGAAAATATTCAATGATATCATTCTACCACTCACTTTGCAAATAACATTTGAAAACCCACCACCTGTGAAGCTACCTGCATAGTTTCAATTTATTGTAGACGTGGAACAAAGTTGAATACTCACAATTATCTGAAAGGTACTTAAAATGCTATTTTCACATATTTCAGAAACGCTGTATATTTTTCATTGGCCAACCAAAACAAAGAGTAAATGCAGGAGAAACTATGACAAACCAACATTCTCCTAGTGAGACAGAGAAGAAAAATAATTGCAAAAATACAAGCCTTAAAAGATCCACCCATGACCCTGATTATTTTCATTAAATATCTATATTTCCTTAAGATACTTTGAACATACATTGGGTTATTAATATTATTCTAAATTAAATAAAAAATATCTTTAAGTTGTTTTTATTCCTCATGTAAAAAATACTGAGAGTTATAACCTCCAAAAATTATAGGCGGGTCCTCGCTAATTTGAAAACTGTGTAGAGATCGCTGCTCCAGTCCCTGGCCTGGACTCCGGGAGGCAACAGTGTGACAAAGGCCTTGGAGCAGGAGAGGAGGGGGCGGCAAAGTCCCAGGTGTCGCCTGAGAGTCTCAGGGTCTCTGCGCTGTGGGCTGTGCAGGGGGCAGGAGGTCACTGTTGGGCATTCCACGTCTCCCCAAGTTTCACTTCTCCCTCTCTCACAGCCTGTGTCTGGTCCTCCTGCCTGGATACTGGTCACTCACCCCCAGTTCTCACTCCCCATTGCCTGGAGGGTTTCCAGAGAATCCAATCAGCATCACTGTTCCCACCAGTCTGGACTCAGATTCTACCCAGACCTCAAGTGCTCAGGTCATGAGGCCCCCAACCCTCCTGCTGCTGCTCTCAGGGGCCCTGGCCCTGACAGAGACCTGGGCAGGTGAGTGCGGGTCTGGAGGGAAAAGGCCACAGAAGAGGGGGAACCAGAGGAACCACGGTGTGGGGGGGGGGGCAGGGCCCCTGGAAAGGCATGTCTCCCACATCGCTGACCCAGTGTTCCCCTTGACCCCACCCTGCCCTGACCCCTTCCTGTCCTTCCCAGCCTCCTGCCTCCCTCTAGTCCCTCTGAATCTCCAGCCATCTCATCTGGCCCCCATTTCTATCTCAAGAGCCCCCTCGCCCTCCTCCCCGCACCATCTCCCTGGGACTCAGCCTGGGTCTCCCCTCCCGCCCCCAGGCCCCCACTCCCTGAGGTATTTCTCCACCGCGATGTCCGGGCCTGGACTCGGGGAGCCCCGGTACATGGAGGTGGGCTCCGTGGACGACACGCAGTTCGTGCGGTTCGACAGCAACTCCCCGGGTCAGAGGATGGAGCCGCGGGCGCCCTGGATGGCGCAGGAGTACCCGGGGTACTGGGAGGAGGAGACGCGGAGCGCCAAGACAAACGCGCAGACGTTCCGAGTGAACCTGCGCGTCCTGCGCGGCTACTACAACCAGAGCGCGGCCGGTGAGCTGGGCGGGCCCGGGGCGCTCACGACCCCACCCCCGCGGGCGGGCGGGACCCCAGACCCCGGCCCGAGCGTCCCCCGAGGCAGGGGGACCCGCTGGACCCTCGACCCGGGACAGGCCCGCGGGACGCTCCCTGGCGAGGTTTCCGGGGGGTAGGGCGCGGGCGGGGTGACCGCGGGGTGACGCGGGCGGGGACAGGCTCTCACACCCTCCAGAGGATGTCTGGCTGCGACGTGGGGCCCGACGGGCGCCTCCTCCGCGGGTACCATCAGTTCGCCTACAACGGCGCCGATTACCTGGCCCTGAACGGGGACCTGCGCTCCTGGACCGCGGCGGACACGGCCGCTCAGGTCTCCCGGCGCAAGTGGGAGGCGGCTGGAGTGGCTGCGCGCTTCAGGAACTACCTGGAGGGCCTGTGCGTGGAGTCACTGCGCAGGTACCTGGAGCACGGGAAGGAGACGCTGCAGCGCTCAGGTAAGAGGGGCCACGAGGTCTCCCACCCACCTCAGGCCGGCACCGCGGAGAGGGTGGAGTCAGGGTCAGAGCAGCGCCCCCTCTCTGGTCAGGGGAGGAGTCCCCCTGGGTTTCCTGACTTCCCAGAGGACCCCACTTTCCCTCAGAACAGTTAAAGAATCCAGTCTCTCCTGAGCCTGAGGGGAGACCAGCCCTGAAACCACCCTTCATGGCATCCTTTTGACCCACAGCCCTCTTGGGAACCATCAGTGTTTCCCTCAGGGTCTTGTTACTGGTCTGAGGACATTTTTCTGATCGGACTCCTGCTTTTCTGAGTGCCAAGGTCAGGAGCAAAAGACTGTGCTCTCCTCCTTAGAAAACTGTGTCCTCCTTTCCAGAGTTGTCGCCCTAATTCTAGAACTTTTGAAGGAATAAGAGATTATCCCAGACTCCCCAGACCAGGCTGGTTTCTAGATTTTGTGCTTCCTCTTTCCACACCCACTGCCCTGTGCATTCTGAAGATGGTCACTTGAGGCTTTTTCAGGGTCCATCATAGAAAATCCAGAGTGTGAAAGTTCTCACCCTTCTCCTCAGATGCCCCAAAGATACATGTGACCCACCACCCCACCTCTGACCAGAAGGTCACCCTGAAGTGCTGGGCCCTGGGCTTCTACCCTGCGAACATCACCCTGACCTGGCAGCGAGATGGGGAGGACCTGACCCACGGCACAGAGCTCGTGGAGACCAGGCCTGGGGGGGACGGATCCTTCCAGAAATGGGCAGCTGTGGAGGTGCCTTCTGGAGAGGAGCAGAGATACACGTGCCATGTGCAGCATGAGGCGCTGCTGGAGCCCCGAGTCCTGACTTGGGGTAAGGAGGAAACATGGGCACAGTGTCTGCTGAGGGGCATCAGGACCCTCTCTGGAGACTTTAGGAGCATCAGATGGGGGCCTAAGGCTCAGGGTCTCCCCTTCCCTTCCAGTGCCCCCTCCTCTGTCTTCCATCCCCACTGCGGGCATCATTGTTGGCCTGGTTCTCCTTGGAGCTGTCCTCACTGGAGCTGCAGTGGCTGCAGCTGTGATGTGGAGGAAGCAGCGCTCAGGTAGGGAAGGGAGTGGGGGATCTTGTCCACTGGGGTCTTTCAGGCCACAGGTAGAACTTACCCTACCTGTAATGGGAAGTACCACCCACACGCCTGTGTTGGCCAGTCTGGAGCTGATTGCTAACCCTCTTTTGTAAAGCATTTTTGAAAATGAATCACATTGTTCACCTTGATAATGCTGATGCTGGGGCCCTGATTCCAGCAAATGGCAGAGGGGAAGGTCCCTGCTGAGGGCAGACCCAGGAGGCAGTTGGCCCAGTCCCCTCTCATCTCTTTTCTTCATATTTCCTGGTCCTTCCCTAAGTGTCTGGTCACAGTTCTGGAAACTTCCCTATGTTTCAGACATGGGGATTCCTTTAGGACGTCATAGCCTGACTCCTCCCTGGTCTCACATGTGGCTTCTTTCCACAGGAGGACAAGGAGGAAGCTACACTTAGGCAGCAGGTAAGTGTGGATCAGGGGCTTGGTCCCTGAGTCCCTGTGGACAGTGTCGATGGAACCCATGGGGGAGTCACCCTCATCAGTCCATCCTGTGGTCTCATCTCTCTGTGGTTCTGACCAGGTTCTGTTTTGTTCTCCCCCAGGCAGCGACAGTGCCCAGAACCCTGATGTGTCTCTCAGCTGCTAAAGGTGAAGTCCTGGGGGCCTGTGGTGGGAGGGGCTGGGGCAGAGAGGATGGGACCAAGTTATGGGGAAGCTGTGGGGGGGGGGCATTCTAAGGATGCTGTGAACTATGCAGAATGTCGACACTTAAGTGTTTCTTTGCATTTTTTTATGATCCTTTTCCTACAGTGTGAGCCAGCTGCCTTGTCAGGACTGAGTGATGCAAGATTTCTTCTCAGCCCTACTTTGTAATTTCACAATCATCTGGTTTCCTTTGCTGCAAAAGTCATCTGAATGCATCTCTGTTCTTAGTAGATAATGTGAGGAGGTGGGGAGACTGGCCCAGCCCTGCCTTCCAGGCCCCTCCCCGCACTGACCTGTGTCTCTCCTTGATGATTTTCCTGCTCCAGCAGAGGCAGCTTGGTTTGTGTCTGCTGTTGTCTTTGTGTTTTCCTCAAGAATAGTAACTATTTCCCTCTTGAAATAATAATTGAGTTCTGAAATTACTTATTGTAAGCTTGCCTGATGGGTTGGTGGGCTAACAAAAATGATTCCTAAAATTTGAGAGGAAATAATTATCCAAGACCCTATTGATAACAAGTTTGAGGCTCGTTTAAATGTTCTTGAGGAATCACTTTTACATATTGGTAATCAAATTCAACACATCAAAACTCACTTGACTACCAAATGTCATTCTGATTACAAATGGATTTGTGTCACTCCACATGTTTATAACTCTTCTTCTGTTTCTTGAAATAATGTCAAAAATCGTTTACTGGGTGTTTGGGATAACACAAATGTTTCCCTGGACCTTACTGCTCTGCAGAAAGATATTAAGGCAATTAGTTTAGCTCATGTCCCCTCCTCAACCCCTGCGGAAGTTGCTGCTTCCTTGCAACGTTATACCACTAACTCGGCGTGGTTCCCATCATTTATTACCTTGGGTGTTGTTTTGCTTGTCACCATGCTGCAGAAGGCCTTGTTGCACCAGCCAGGTAAGACACTGGCAAGCAGTGAAGCTAAAGGGCCTCACACCATGGGGCTGAAGGTAAAGGGCCTCACACCGTGGGGCTGAAGATTTAACATCCCTTTATTTTTTGTTCTTGGTCATAAAAATTGAAAAATTTCCCAAAAAGTACATTAGGCAATAAATTATATGCATCAGTATACTGCAAATAAGTGGCATGGAAAATTATCTGTTTAGAAATTAGTTATTAAACAATTTGGCCCACTTGACAATGGGAGACAATTTATTGAACATGCCTGACAAGCAATCCAGCACAACAATTATAGTAGGTCCTTCTCTTGCCTTCTTTTGAAGTTTCTTGGGAAATTTTTAAATAAAGCTATTTGAGTTAAGGAGTTTCTAGGTAGAAAAAGTTCTGATAGCAGAGTAGCAGCTGGTCCCTGGCTGAAGACCATGAGAATAAGAGGAGTCTTTTCTTGCTTAGGCTTTAGCTGATAGGGATGTACTGGCAAATATCTACTGTCTTAGGTTATTGTTTAGTTGAAACAATGAGTTTTAGTGTAAGGCTTAGTTTTTCATTAACCTTGAAGGTTGCCTTCTTACTGAGAGCACGTAGTGGCCAAAAGCCTATGGAAAAAGAGATGCACTGATTGTTTCTGCTTTGTTTCTATGCACATGATAATGTCATCTCACTGCTTGCAAAAAATGTATAAATAAAGAAACTGCTGAGCCTCTCGGCAGAAGATACTTGCACCTCACCAAGTGTCAGTGTCTCCTCACTGCCTCATCCTCTTCCCCTCAGCCCTTAAGTTTAAGCCCCTTACAGGTGGCTGAGGCCGTCTCATCCTTTCAGGAACCCCAGACATGACATTTTGCTGGAGTCTGGTCCCCGGCAGCGAAACCTTCCAAAATCACGTGTTTGCTGTGCTGAGTCTGTGCAGGTGGGGGCGGAAGAGGCTGTGAGGAGCCAAGGGGGACAGGGCCTGTGTCCAGTCAGTGCTCAGTGCATCGTGGGCTTTGATGTGGTCACTCCTCAGGGGTCATCTCTCTGCTCCTTTGACTTGTCTTTCAGGAGCACCTGCCCCAGCAGGGCCTGTGCTCACAGGGTCAGACCCCACCTGGCCATGTGCTGTCGTGTGTGGGCAGGGAGTGCTTGTGTGGCCGGGTCAGCCCAGGCTCAGCTCAGGGTTTAGCCTTTCTATGGATTCCTATTTTGTTTCTTTGGGGTTTTGGTTTTTTTGTTTTTTTTTCTTTATGCCTGTTCTCCTTGATGTTTAGAGACCAAGCCTCATGTCCTCTTGGTCCCTGTCTCTGTCAGCAACAGGAGCATCTGTCATTGTCCCCACAAGGCCCAGGGTGTCCCCTGCACACAGGAGTCTGGTGAGATGAATTTCCAGACTCATCTGATTTTTGGCTCATTTAGGACTTTTTTCTGGATTCTTTCCATCTTTTCCAACAAAGTCCTGGTATTACTAGAGAGGAGGGTTTGATAATTTCCTGATGGGTTTAGATAAGTTCCTGATAGATTTCTATTTTTCTCTACAGCTTCTCCCTGTAACCCTGCCCTTAAATGTAGTAACCCCAGTGCTGGTGCTAATTGAGGTCCATCAGTTCATGAAGTCAGTTACCTTCATAGTTGACTGAAAAATAGGACCCATAAGCCTCAGTACCTGTGCCTCCCTGGTGGCCAAGGAGTTAAGTCTCAGCGCTATTACCTCTACACCCTAAGTTCAATCCCCAGCCAGGGAGCTAACCCACAGATGGTGCAGCTGACCTCTCCTGTTTCACCTGCTGCTCCCCTTGGCAGTGTATTTCAGTAAATCTGCCTCTTCTGCTGCCCACTCTGTGTCTGGTGAATCTTCTCACCAACCCCACTCATGCACTTCTGACCTACACCCCAGTTCTTCTAAGCAAAAATAAACAAATCTTAAAAAGAAAACAACCCTAGGGGGCCTCCCCAGTGGCGCAGTGATTTAAGCGCCACCCTATGAAGCTGTCTGCAGCCTCTGCAGTGCGGGTTCGATTCCTGGACTGCCAGAGAGCAACCCACATAGTGCGGCAGACCTCTCCTGCCTCACCCGCTGCTCCCCTCAACAGTGTCTTGTCTGCCTATTCTGCTCCCTGCTCTGTCTCTGGTGAATTCTCTCACCCTCCAGTGCCTCTGGCCTGTACCCCAGTACTTGTATAAATAAATCTTAAAAAAAAAACAACCCTAGGAACCCCTTTTGAAAGAAATACACCTGTGTAATGTGCCACATTAGTAAAGACTCTGTCTCTAGAACAGGGAGGTGCTCTACACTGATGACACAGATAACTGTTGCACCAGATGTGTGACTGACTGCTTATGCAGCTAGGAAACCTCAATGAACGAAAAACATGCACAAATTGTGGCCTGTCAAGAGTGTGTCCTAGTGGGGAGGGGAGACTGGGGACTGTGTGACTGCAGACCAGACAGTAAACCACGCGTATCTGGTAAGGTAAGGGATGTGGGAAGGCGACAGGATGGTTTTCTTCCCAGCGTGGTCAGTGTGGGTCTCATTAAAGTGACCTTTGAGAAGAAGTTTGATGGACACGTTCACAAGGATGTGATGTGCAGGGAAGTTCAGTCCAGACAGGACAATCTCCATGTAGATGCCTGAGCAGGAATGTGTCTGTGTGACTGACATAAGCAAGGAGGCTAAGGGCTGAGCAGAGGCCAATGGAGATGGGATCTGTGTGCACCCTGGTCATTCAGACCTGAGGATATTGGGAGGGTTTGAATCTCTGAGTAAGATTAATGGGAGCCGCGCTACTCATGTCGTCTGACAAAAGTCCGGGCATGGGGCAGATTTCTGAAAAATCAGGAATCTCGTTAGCTGACTCCAAGATTCTCCTCATTTGTTTATGGCTAGTCTCTACCATTGTTAAAAATATGCATTTAAAAGTAAAACTGCAAATGCTTTTTGATCAATTAATGAATAACTAATTTGATGGAAAATGGCACTGCATGATACAAATATTACATTTTTTATAAAATTAGTCCTTCTCTGCCAAAAGGCAGTCAACATTTGGCCTTACATTAACAAGTGAAAAAACTTCTGGGAACAAAAGGCTGTAAACATCCCTTGGCCAAATCTTTAATATGGAGATGTGGTCTTTTGAGGCAAGACCTAATTGGAGAAGGAAATTCTATTACTTTAAAGATAGCAGTTGGGTGGCAGACGTGATCCATGCTCCAAGTGTAAGAAAATTCCTGATGAGCCAGGAGGTGCCATAGCTAACTCCAGCTAAATTCTTCCTGTTTGTTTAGGGCTGATTCCCCTGGAGGTGACAATTGGTATGGTAGCTGTTAGAATATGCATTCAAAAATAAGTCAACAGCAATTTTATGACTGGTCGAGCTAAAACAATATAGATAATAATTTCTAAATAAAAGCCTTCTGTTTTTTACTTCAATCAATTAGTTGTATGTTGGTCTAAACTTCATAGGTTAGTTAAAAATAATCTTTGTCTCCCTTCCCCCAGGTAACTTCCTGCCCTTTGTTTCCCTCAGCCCATAGTTAATCAATCGTTCACCATGGCAAACTTAGAAATGTTAGTTGTAGACACATAGGCTTTTTGCTAGTAATACAATAACTGTTGGATTGTTTAAAGTAAATAACTATTTTGAAAACATTTGTTTAGCAACTGTGCCTTCTTTAAGACAAAAAATAATAAATGTTACACCTCTGCCGGAAGGCAAACAGACCCTTGGTGGCTCCTGAAAAAGGACATGTGATAATTGTTATCTTCCTACCTTATGCTTGCGTACTCACGATTTGCTTAGTATAAATAAAGGGCTGCTGAGACCCTCAGTAGGATGATGTCAGTACCCTGATCAAGTGTCTGCGTCTCCTCATTCCCTCTCCCCCTTCCCTTACCATTTTTCTCTACAATTGCGCCGACGCCTTCCCATCCTTCAGGAACCCCTGACACCCAGACTGCTGCGGCTGGCTCGCAACATAAGATGTTGGGTGACAAGAACTTCTGAACAGATACACACCTGTGGGACTTCCCTCTGGTAACCTCAGTCT